ATTCAACGATCAGACAAATTTCGATATTTTTGATGCATCGATACTTTTTCGAAATATCTAGGTCCTGCCCATTCGATAGAGCTGGGAAACTATCGATCGTTGTGTCCGTTGTTGTTGTTGTCGTTGTTGTAGCGGCTACAACAACCCCGCCCTGGACGGTTGGTATCTCAGTCGTTGTCGTCAAGTTCCACTAACGGCAGCCCTAGGAAGCGTGCAGCTTCTGTAGGGTTGGTGCACAGGGACAGGGCCGTTAGGGTTGTCGGGTTTTCCGGGCATGTGAAGATATGTTTCGAGTCATGTGGGGTCTCCCCGCATTCCGGACACTCATGTGGCACATCCTCATTCAATCTACTCAGGTAGGAGTTTAACCTGCTGCAGTAGCCAGAGCGAAGTTGGGCTATTGTCGTTCGTGTCTCCCGAGGCAGATGAAGCTCCGTCTCGTCTATGTCCGGGGGCGGTATGCCGAGAACGGCATTCACAGGTCGAGAGTCTACATAACTCGAGACTGACTCCCTGTGAATGCCGTTCAGGGCCAGTCGGTAAGCTGACGGGTCCAGAGGTTGCTTGATGAACCTCTGGACTTCGTCCGTCAGTTCATATAGATGCCTCATGACGTGCCTAGGCGAGGGCTCTTCTGCAAGCAGCTGTCTGTTTGGGTGGCCACTTCTGTGGCTTCCGATCAGGAACTGCTTGCAGAGCATTATCTTGTGCTCCTTTACGGGGAGCATTTGCGCCTCGCCGTGGAGATGATGTTCGGGCGACATCAGGAGGCATCCTGTCGCTGTCATGAGTGCGGTGTTCTGTACAGTCTGTAGCTTCGTCCACTGCGTCCTACTAGTCCCCGGCGACCGCACTGGCGCTGCGTAGTTTAAAACCGGCCGGCCTATTGCCTTGTATGTTTCCAGCAACGTTTCTTTGTCTTTGCCCCAAGTACTGCCGGCTAGCGACTTGAGGACCTTGTTGCGGCTCTGTGCTTTATTGACAGTAGCGGTTGCGTGCGCAAGGAGAAGGAGAGCAGGCTGTCCAATGTTACTCCGAGTATTTTGGGTTTATTCACCGTCGGAATTGGTGTGTCATCGACGTGAATTCCCAGCGGTAGCCTGACCTCCTTCGTCCAGGTTGTGAACAGGGTCGCAGAGGATTTCGTAGGGGAGAGGGCTAGAGACTTTGCAGTGAAGAAGCGAGAAAGTTCGGAGAGATACCCGTTTACTTTCGAACACAGGTCATCAATTCCATCCCAGTCGCCCTGATTAGGGTTCGAACGATACTATCGATACTGAGTAAGTATCGATACTGAGGGAATAAAAATGAGTACTTTAATACTCAATACCTTATTTGGCGATTTTTCTCGATACTTTCCAAAGTACTCGTAGTATCGAATACTTGTTAAAAAACACACTTTTTAAATTTTGTCTTCCATTGGCAACCCAATTTTCCTTGCTTATATGGATTACTATCATTCAATTTTGTCCATCACTTAAAATAAACTGAAATCTCGTGTAGTCTGTTACATAACATAAACCAAATAAGTTAAAGTTTAATGGCCTTATTCATAAAAAATAAAGTAGGCTTCAAGAGCTTAAATAAAATGACACTTTCATACATTCTTCAGTTTATAAACATTTTTTATGAATAAGGCCATAAAACTTTACTTTAAACTATACTTTAAAGTTCACGAAAATACAGAATTTTTAGAAACTTTTAGGGTATGCAGTTTTGTAACCTATTCAACTTTCCGTGTAGCCTACTACCGTTGACTTTTAATTAAAATTTGCACAATATTAATCAAAATTGAATAGGCTACAAAAATGCATACCCACAAAGTTTCCAAAGATTCTTAATCAAATTTAAATTTCGTGAAAGTAAATATGTGTGTATTTATGTATGTACATTTAATGTTTAAATTACTTCTAACGTGGAAGTAAGTTCTGCAATGAAATAAAAATCAAATATTTTAAATGTCTATTGTTTTAATTTCAGGAAATAACTAGATATACGATTGAAGAACAAAATAATTTTAGTATCCCAAGAAACGTATTTTAATGAGTCCGATACTGAGTAGTGTCGATACTTTTTCCCTGATACTTTTAGAGTATCGATACCATGAGCTCGATGCCAGAATGAGTACTCAGAATCGATACCAAAGTTTGAAATTTCGAACCCTAGCCATGATCGAGCAATCGTCGGCGTAAGAGACGATCGAGACTCCCTATGGTGGTTGAGGGAGCTTTGAAATGTAAAATTTAAACATTACCGACGAGTGTCGACCACTCAGATAATTTGCCGACCACAGTTTTAGCATCTGTGGGAGAGAGGAGGCCTCTATATCTTCTAGTAGCGTGGAATGGCAGACGGTGTCAAACGCCTTTGACAAGTCCAACGCTACTAGGATCTTTCTCTCACAGGGACGGTTTCGGTTAAGGCCACGAGTTATCTGAGTGTTTATGGCGTTAAGTGCTGTTGTTGTGCTGTGCACTTTACGGAAACCATGCTGATGCTTCGCTGGGGTCAAGTGGTTTGTGAAATACGGGAGTAGCAAGGCCTCGTTTGTCTTCGCTACCGGGGAAAGGAGTGTTATCGGACGATAAGAATCTCCTTTGTTGGCAGGTTTCCCCGGTTTGAGCAGTGGGACCACTCTCGCCACCTTCCAGATGTCTGGGATGATGAGTGGCCATAGACAAATTGAGGACCTCCGTTAAGTACGCTACCCCCGCAGGACCCAAATTTTTCAGCATAAGCATGCATATTCCGTCGGGGCCCATGGCTTTGGAGGCTTTCGCCTTCCCGATGCCCACCTGAACTTCACCGCAAGTGAAAGCAAGGGGGGCAGGTTGTTGGCAGTTTGTGCAGCCTTCTGGTCACTCGACGCTTGGCTTTGTCCACCCAAGGATGCAGTATGAACTGCCGGCTAAAATAGCTCGCGCATCGCTCCAAGTCCGACGAAGCATGGTCGCCGAAGGAAATTTCGACTCTGTCGTCGTGCTTCATCGGATTGGACAGTGACCTCACGGTTGACCAAAGCTTGCTCACACCAGAGGTGAAGTTACAGGTCTTCAGATGCTCCTCCCACTTCTTCCGTTTATGTACGTTTACTAGTCGCCGAATCTCCGCGTTGAGATCCCTGATACGGGGATCTCCGGGATCGGCCTGACGAAGGCTATCACGCTCATCGACTAGAACTGCCGCTTCGGCAGGGAAGTTTGGACGGGGGTCCGTTATACATCCTGCCGGTATGAAGCGAGCTGCAGCAGCAGTGACAGCCCTGCGGAACTTACGTTCACCGAGATGGACGTCGGTTGGTGTGGGAAGCGCTGTGAAGGTGTTTTCGGTAAACTCCGCGTAACCTTTCCAATCATCTTTAGAAAAGTTGATATAAGTCCGGTGTTTGGCGGAGGCAAAGACGGTTGGTTTATCTATCGAGATGACTATGGGTAGGTGGTCTGATGCTAAAGTCAGCATAGGTCGCCATGTTATGCTGTTTATCAGACCAGCGCTGACTATGGTGATGTCTGGCGAGCTACCGCAGTTACCCATAATCCTGGTGGGTGCGTCGTCGTTAATTGTGCAGAATGTCGAATCGTCTATCTGCTCAGCCAAGTCTGTTCCCCTACGATCGTTTGACAGGCTTGAGTGCCAAAGATCGTGGTGCGCATTAAAGTCACCTACTACCATACGGTTTTCACCTCTGAGGAGGGCACCTATATCAGGGTGATATCCTGCCGGGCAGCAGGTGACAGGGGGTAAGTATATGTTAAATATTTTGAGCTCAACATCGCCTGACCGGATAGCAATGCCCTGACATTCTACTGCACGATACTGCACGGTGTGGTGCGTGACGAACGCTAAGCCACCACCATTATCTCGCTTGCGATCTCGACGGTGCACGTTGTACCCGGCACAACTCAACAAAGTTGAATTGCTGTACACCTTCGTCTCTTGGACCGCAGCTATCAATATACCATGCCGACACATGAAGACGGTTATCTCCTCAATCTTGCTCTGTAGCCCGTTGCAGTTAAAATGAAGGAGCTTCATGTGGTTCGGGAGACGTGTCGTGATGTGGCAGGTGTTGTATTTGACTGATGTCACATTACGGAATATCCTGGTCTGACATACCGTGCAGATTGTAGGGGGAACCAGGAGTTGTTGGCGGCGGCGTGTGGGTAGTGGTGCAGTTGTGTGTGTTATGTGGTCTGTCGTGGCTGTGGTATGGTCTGTGGTGTTATTATGTTGTTGTGCTGTGGTGACTGTGTGAGGCTGCTCGGGTGGACTGAGGTTAGCCGTAGAGGCTACTCTGTTTGAGCAACATGGGCCCAAGTACGACGTGGTCCACTGTCGACGTGTCCGTAGTCCTGAGCAGACTCTAAGGTTACTCCACCCCTCGCAGGCATTACACTTGACTGAGGTGGAGTTGTGGTGTAGTCGTCTCTGGTATACACAGCAGGTGTAGATTTCTGGCCCTGGGTTTGACTCGATGCCAGCCCTGAGTAGAAGAATACGTAGTGAATGTAGCCCTATGGACGAACAACTTCTGAGATACTTCGCCGACCTAAACGGGGTTAGATCGCCGAAACAACAGCCCTTGGTCAGGTAAAACCCGAGTAATTCCGGTACGTAGAACCGGCTGTCGTGGGAATGCGTTGTGTCCGTCGATAGTTTCGATAGTCCCAACCGTCGATAGTACTATCGATAGTTTTGATTAAAAGTCAAAAAATTAAACATTTTTTATTGAAAATTAGATCAGAATTGCTTAAATATGTCGATGTTTTTGTTAAGGAACAAAAGTTTATCAACGATTTTTGGCTTCAAGCAGTATTTTTATGTATGTATGAGTGAAAACTATCGATAGCGCTTACAAAACCATCGATACTATCGATAGCTCTATCATTAGACGTCCAACTTGCCAATATTGGGTTGTGTACTCAAAACTGAGTTTCTCAACTAATAATTTCTACGATTTTATTTCTGTAAAAAAGTATCAAAACGTTACAAACCAAAAATATTTTGCTTAATTCAAATTTTAATAGCATATATATATATGTATGTATGTACATTGAAATACATCTTCCAAAATCATAATTTCATTACATTAAAAGCTTCACACATCGGCAATGTATTTTCTTATTAAATCTTCTAGTTTTTTTAGCATCTTGTGCGAATTTTCTTATACCTTCAGAAAGCTTTTCTGTTGCCATAGCGTCTTCATTAAGCAACCAACGGAATGTAGGTTCATCAATATTAATTTTTTCCATATCCACAGATTTAGCATTTTTTATTGATAACTGTTCATTAATTGGCTCGTCATCATTCTCAAGCTCTTTTAACAAAGTAGGACTTATTGTCAAATAGTCGCAGCCCGCTAATGCCTTTATTTCGCCAACATTTCTAAATGAAGCTCCCATAACAACCGTTTTGTAGCCATACTTTTTATAGTAATTGTAGATTTGAGTAACTGATATAACACCAGGATCTTTTTCTGGCTCAAAACTCTTAGTTTTACTATTAGCCACGTACCAATCCAATATACGACCAACAAAAGGCGAAATTAAAGTTACTCCAGCATCAGCGCAAGCCACTGCTTGTGCAAATGAAAACAGTAGAGTCAAATTGCAATGGATATTATGCTTTTCTTCTAATATTTTCGCCGCTTGGATACCTTCCCAGGTAGATGCAATTTTTATGAGAACTCGTTCTTTTTGAATACCCATTTGCTCGTATAATTTTATAAGCTTCAATGCCTTTGCTACGCTCTTCTTCGTATCGAATGATAAGCGAGCATCGATTTCGGTAGAAACGCGTCCTGGGATAATTTTTAAAATTTCACAACCAAACAGAACGCCTAAGTAATCAATCGCCTCCTGAACCTTATCGTTAGATGTCCTGAAAAAAATAAAATGATTTTTTTTTTTGGAAATCGCATTGTTATTTTTTTTTACTAACTTACTTCCCAGCTCCCGCTCCATAGTTGACTGCTTCTTTCAGAATATGATCGTATTGCTCCATTTTCGCAGCAGTTAATAACAGCGATGGATTTGTAGTGGCGTCGGTGGGCTTATACAGTTTCATCGCTTAAAAAATTTATTATTTTATAATAATAAGTCTTTCAGAAATGTAGAGTTACAAAATGTTATTTAAACTGATTAGTGTATCCCTAGAAAATTACATTCAGGCAGGTTCTGCAATTCACTTCCGAGTGAATTTCAAGCCCTGTCTGATTATTTGCATTTATTATTGTTTGGGGAAAAGAAATTGGTCTTAACAGCCAAACAATTTTTTCTTCATAAATAGTTTAAGAGACCATGTTCTCATTAAGCTTATGTTACTAGTTGAAACTTTGTTAAATATACATATACTGTGTTTAAATCTGCCTGCCATTCACTTGACATTCAGTTGACTTTGCTTTCACTTTGGAGTTTGTACTGATAAGCTCTTCACTGCAATTCACAAAGCGTGTTGTGCATGACCTCCCAAAAGAACAGTAATAGTAATTACCTTCAAAGTCACCAGTGTCGGCAACTACAACCGTCATTTCTTTTAGTTGATCCAAAGTTGACAACTTTTGTTTTTTTGTTATTCCTTCCATCTTCAGAGTAAACTTCGGCTTCGAAAAACACTGTTCTCTACTTCTACTTGTTCAGAACGGAAATGTCGAGATTAAATTGCACCAAGCTAACTAGTTTTTGCCAATAATGCCATATGTTTTGAAAGCACTCAACTTCAGTGGTTACCAGATATGTAGGTATTTAATTAAAGTTGTTATATTAGTCATGCTTCACACGAATCAGTTTTAGGAAAACTTAGTGCTGTGCTGTGTAGGTTATACATTATTTTACTGAGCATTTTGCTATTGAAATCTGGATAACAAATCTTATCACCAAACCGGATAACCATGATCATATTTTTTACCAAACACCAAGAATTTTAACCATTACTCTTTGGAATAATTGAATACAAGATTAAGACTTTTATCAAGAGAACTAAGATGAAATTTATATTTCCAGAGTTCCGAATTGACGGTTACTTCCGAAATATTTAAAAAATAAAGAAAATTAAAATAGAAAATTCAACCCATAAATGCATGTACATAAGTATGTACATACAGGTGTATTCACTTTCCGCTTGCAATGAAAAACAAAATACAGTCCAACCCATAAATGTATACATGTATTCACTTTCTACTTGTATTGAATTTCCTTCTTTCAAATTTTGATCCAAACTAACTAGAAAAATGTTAATGCTATTAAGACAATAATTTAATTTAATTCTTAAACTGGGACAAATAACTGATGTACTACTTTTTTTTTATAATTTGTACACACGTTCTTCTAAAAAATATTAAATCCCCGTAGATATACATTTTTATTTCACAATAATCACAATTCATTTAAAAATATATTTAGATAGTGTGTAAATTCACTACTTTATAAGGAGCTTATTCAAAGTCTAACTTGTTCAATAAGTTTGGATTTGAAGTTAATTCATCTAAAGCTGGATCCGCATATTCAAGTATGTTAAAGTCGTCTTCAGCCGTTAAGGATTTTAAGAGATCATCATCGTTTCCGTCACCCAAACCGCCAAAAATGTCTCCAAATGCACCATTTTCGTCAGAGTCCAATTTTTCAAGCTCAGAGTCCCCACTATCTGTTGCTTTTACATCTTTTCGGCTTCTAAAAATCTGCCTATTTTCGTTGCCGCTTATTTGCTCTATTTGAACGACATCAAGAGGCTGAGTAATTTTGGATTCTTCATTAAGTCCATTTTTACTTTCCATACTTGCAAATGGATTTAACTTATTTGAGTTAGACAGAAAATCGCCCGATAAAGAATGCTGGTACAAATTATTTGGTGAATTTATGGGGACTGAGTTTGATATCCAAGGATCTGAAGTCGTTGTTCTTATTTGGTGCTCCTTTAAAAGTAGTGTTCTTAAATGTTTGTTTTCAGGCTGGTTATCTATCAACGGAACAAAAATTCATAAAACAATATAAACGCAGAATTCATATTACATATTACTAAATGGAAATGTCAACTAATCGATTTCACATAAATTAAATATAATTCAATTGTTTTAAATGAGTTTATAATAAGTTACCATGCTTTTCTTTCGGAAGAAATTGTTGTTGTGCAACCTTTTGCAAAACATCTTCGTTACATACAATCGTACTTTTATCAATTGAATTCACTTCAGATGATCCATTCAAATCAAATGAGGGTCCTTAAATGTAAATACATATATATAAAGCACATTCGCCTAATTTTTTCAATTATTTTTATCAAACCTCTTTGACTAAACGTCAGGCTGTTTTGTGCTTCCTTAGCTTTCGCCTGATGTTGTTTCCAGATACGTTCTTGTTCTTGTTCCTTTAATGACTTTTGATTAAAACATATACGTTCTTGATCCTAATCAGTGTATATAATGTTATTCATTAAATTGATGCCACTATAGATATTTTTAATGAACGTATTATACCTGTTGCGAACGCCGCATTCTGAGAGCAGATCGATTATCTTTTGCTTGTTGCAAGAATGGAGCTTTTTTCTCATTAGAAAGGGAGCGCCACCTTTTAAGAATCTGCTTACAACGATCATTCCAATTTGGGTACATCTGCTTCAGTTCAGGATGCTGAGTATTTGCGTAAAGAACTGCTGATATTGTTGCCATTTCTCCCAAATCTAAAAAAGAAGTTAAGAACTAAAAATTCTTATATGTACTGAAGTAGACTTTAGGCCTACCATAATAATAATTCTTATAATATGGCCCAGTGAATGTATTTTTGAAATAAAAAGTACTTGGACAGCGAAATATTTTAAAGGTATATAGATATTCCTTCTTTGTGCGTTTCATTGAAAAGAAATTGGTTCAATATTTTTAATTACAGCACAGTCTTTTTTGAGTTAAAATTACTATGTTTAAGGTATATTTTTTATCTTATTATTCAAAAGATTCTAACTTCGTTATTTTACCATAGGACTTCTACAATTTCAAAACTGTGTTTTGTCGCTTTAAATCCATAATCTCTCATAAACTACGGCCAAAAAGGACCGGTGCAGTCTAACTATATAAGCAAAGTTGTTAAATACGCCATCATTTCAAAGGTCCATGAATGCTGAAAAGTCTATAAGGAATAACCAAAGGCATAATACCAACTTTTCTACAAATTTTGTTAAACTCATATTTCTTGGAAGCACTTAAAAAAACGTCGATCATAGTCATAAACCGCTTTGACCACATAACAGCGAAAGTCATACAAATCTGTCAACAACTTTATTTGACCCTACCTTCATCTCGCCGCATCTTTTCAGCTGTCTTTTGAGTGCCAGCTGAGTCTAATTGAGGAGCAGTTGGCTTAAATTGCGATTTCGGTAGCTGATTTACAAACTGACCATGTGGAGCGGCCGCGTTTTCAGGAATAGGACTGTCCATCACACGCGTCGAATTTTGAATCTGAACATGCATCGGAACTACCTGTATTTGGGGCGATGCCTCCTTGGTTTGCTTCGGCTCTGATTGCTGGGGTATAAATGGCACACTCGCCTTATTGTCGTTTAAATTATTTGTCAGTAAATTAACATCCTCCAATTGCTTGGCAAGAACAGTTCTTTTAAACAAAAACCTCAGAATTAGATGTTTATTTGTTGATATAACATCAAATCAAATTACCTAAATTCAGCTCCGTGTTTTGACTCAGAAAATATACTTTTCATTCCGAAGTCGTCGTGAGCAGTGAGTAGCTTCGAAGTAAAAGGAGGTTAAAATGAACAAAATCAAAACGGAAAAAGTTATATATTCCGGGACACATACATAAATACATACATACATAAATACATGCACAATAATGTACTTACTTGACCTTTACATGTAGGGGCGGGAGTAGTAGACACACACGATTCACTAGGTATATCTGTCACGAATGTAGCTATTTAAAAAAATTAACAACTTGTATAACTACCTAACAGCATACATTACACACATAATACCTGATCTTACTTTCCCAATAGCTTGTATATTAGCCATATTTGTTTCTTTACATGAAGATGGCGTTAAAATGTCGCTATTTGAAATTTCTTTTATTTTAATGGTATTAAGGGAGCTAGATTTAATATCATTCACAATACTTGCAGCCATGTCTAAATCCTTATTACATTTTGTAATGACATCCAAAGAGTCATTAAGAAAAGCGTTCAGGGTGTTTTCCACATTTCGTTTATTGGCAGGCAATGATGCTGGAGTTTTGGGCAATGAAGTAGGTAGCTCGTCGTGAAATAAGGCATCGTTTAGGTCAACTAAATCATCCGATATATACGAGTCGTCCATAGGAAATTCATTTTTAGATTTAATTTCAAGTAAAGATTTTCCGAAGAATGCCTCTTGCAAATATACCGGATAGGCTTCGCTTAAACGACTTTTAACTTTTTTCCGAACTGCTTTCTTTTTCTTTTCTGATTCCGAAAAGGTACAATTGTTAGAAGTTTGCGCCGAATCATCCTTTTTAAACGCACGGTTACGTACACTAAATCCACCGATACCTATTTTCTGCAAATTCCGTTGACGCTTTTTTCGTAAAATTGCGACACCTTCATCATTCGTAGAAATAGAAAATCCTTCAGGGGGACTATTGTCCCCACCCAGCCAAACCATTCCGTCCTTATATTGATCCAAATCCTTCTTTTTCAGTGCCTCCGCCTCAGCACCTTCTTCCATGGGAAGATGGGCATTTGATCCAGCAACAACAGACTCGATGGCTGCTAGTATTCCAGACTCTTTAGTTTGTGAGTCATTTGGGGTTCTCATTTTACGTTTTTTCTTAATATCTGTGGACAATGCCTTAATCATGTTTGCACCTCTTTCACTCATGCTTACACCATCTACCCAAAACGTTGCTTCTATTTCATTATTTTGCAAGTTGCATTTATCGATTGATATTGTATTTATTTTAGTGGTTACCGAAGTTTTCGAAGATAAAAATTGTGCCAACGATTTCTCTTTAGGTCGACACAAAATGCAATGATAGTCGACGTTATCACATACCTGTGCTTCCTCCTCATTATTAATAGAATCACAACGGCAATGAAGCCAACGCTCACAATTTTTACATTGAATAATAAGTTCACCTTCTTTATATCTTTGAGAGCAAAATGAACACTTTTCTTGGCTCGAGCATTGCTTGCATTCAATTAAACCATTATTTACTGCACTGCGAATCTGCTGATTGACTCCTGGAGAATATCGACCACATTTCTGGCATGCCGCACACCACTTACATTTCCAGTTTCCATGTGGTACTGTCTCTAGTGGAGGGCTAATACAGTATATATGATACGATAGATCGCATTCATCACATAGGATCAGTCGAGCCTCGTCATTTCTTTGACCACAACTTTCGCACACAGTACAATCTAAACACCGCCAGCCTCTTTCCAAAATAATATTTGACATTTTTGTATTTACACAAAATGGATGGTAGCATTGGCCACATTGCGCACAAGCAATAAGCTTGCTTTCTTTGTTGATTCCAGCAGATCCACACATTACACATATATCTTGGGACAATAAAAATTTGTCTTTAGCAGAGCACAACAATATTTTCCTTTCCATTGATAAGCTGTCCTCCGACGATCTACTTCCACTTAACATTCTATCAACGTTTGAAGTTAAACTGATATTATTCAATAAAAGCTGACGGCCTTTACCACGCACCGTATTACGTTTTCGTCCGAGATGTGTAAAAATGCTATTTTTTTGACTCAATAATTTTCCACCTCCTCGACCACGCAATAATATCTTTTTCCTGAAAATTTTTGATGACTGAGATTCGATTCCACTAAATTCACTCCCACAATCTTTTTGGAAGTTTTCCATATCCATTTCTCGAATGAAATTGTCATCAATACCTTGGGAAATTGCTATTGCTTCTACTGACCGACTTGGATTATTTTGACTTACTGTATTTTTTTCGCCAGGGGGCAATAATTTACATTGCGGGCAATTATAATCATAATCAGGGTTACTTTCCTTTTTCTTGTGATAATTCATCAAGTCAGCATCATCGTCACAAGTACTGTGGACAAACCTATGAACAATGAAAAAAATTATTCAACCAACATTTTTATTCACATTTGTACACATTTACCTATGGCAAAGGTTGCATTTGACCATTTCTTTGTGGGCAGAAGCTCGGTAAGCTTTATGACAAATGGGACAAGAAAAGCCTTTATTACGTTGCTGATAGCAAGAGTCACATATCGTGTAATGACAATGCCATCGAGAAGACGCTCCACCGCCAGGTGTTCTAGAACCACAGTCAGTACAAACTCGACATCGCTAAAATTAGATATTTAATGTTAAAAAAAAAATACTTAAAATGAAACAATGAAATTTAAAAAAGTTAAAATTAGGTGCATATTCATGAGAAAGTTAAAAAGTGCTCCTAATATGAAAGTTGCTCGTACTCACATTGCATTTCCATCCGTATTTTGGCAACGATGAAATCATAGGGCGCAAACAGGTAGTGTGGTATAAGCGTTGACATTGTTCACATTTGATAAAACGACCTTCGGATCCATCACCCTCTCTGCATATTTGGCATTTGCTACAATTTGAACAGTTCCAACCAGCTCGAGTTTCTAAACATTCGAGAATAATTATTTTTTAATGCTTAGTAGTTTCTTCACTCTTTTGAATTTTATTTACACTGCCGGAACCAAGTATTGGCACAGCAATATATGCAACAATTTTTATTCTAATTTCGTATAAAAATATGGTTCATTCAACAACAAAAAACATAAAAATATAATTCCTAAGCTTTGTGCAAAACTCGCGAAATTTCAGCAAATTTTCATCAAAATTTTAAACTTTTTAATCAGATTTTTTAGAATTTTTTTGAGTACGCAGTTTTGCAGCCCATTAAATTCTGTTAAAAAAATGCAAGTTCAGAGTTGGTAAAAAATCGCGTTGATTTTTAAGATTTTTTTTTGAAGGTGTTTTGCATTTTTTTTCATATAAACTATTCCCTAGCTTTTTAAAACTTGCTCTTTATTATGATAAAATTGATTGGGCTACAAATCTGCATACTCAAAAAAATTCTAAAAAATCTGATTAAAAAGTTGAAAACTGTCATGAGAATTTGCTGAATTTTCGCGAGTTTTGCACAAAGTTTAGAAATTAAAATTTTAATTTTTTTTTGTAGAATGAACCATATTTTTATACGAAATTTGCGGAAAATTATTAGAATGAAAATTGTTGCATATATTGTGAAAAATTTGCTGTGCCAATACTTTGTTCCGGCAGTGTATATTATTTTATTTATTTATAGGCTTAACAAGAGGTTCCGTTGGAAATAATGTTTGCTAGGATGTAACAACAGAGATGAATTTAAACATATGCAATGAAATGTTGACTCATATGCTCATTGGTTCAAAACCTATTTAGTCAGTCTATCCCCTTACTTATGTATGCACATATATAACGAGAACACTGACCTGGAGTATTTATTAGACCAACACAATTAGTGTGAAAATGTTCCCCACATGTCGCGCACATGATCATTTTCGCAAGATCATCCATGGTGGAGCAGTTGTGGCAGGATATGTTAGAACCCGGACCTGTAACATATATTAAAAAAGGTCTAATTTTTTTAAAGGAATTTAGTACTTATATTTATAACTGCTGCTGTATAAGGAAATTTAATATATTTATGTACATACTTAACAACGGAAACGAATTTTTGGTTTTTTATACACTAAATTTTTACTATAGCGGAAAATGTATAATCAGATTGAAAAGATGCACATACTTTGTACACATGAAAAATGTTTTAATTTATCTTACGAGAAAAAGAGTTCATTAATAGCAGAAGTTTTTATTTTATTTTTATAAACATTGCCAGAAAAAATAAAAATAAATTTTAAACAAGTAATTTTTAAGCAAAAAAACAAAGCCGACTTCACTTCTCATATAAAAATGTAAGATTATCTTTAATATCTTCATGATCAAATGATCGGATTTAAGCCAAATTAGTATGGTACCACCTGTGAGGTAACACCTCTCCTTTAAAACAAGAATTTTAAAAAAAACTTCTCCTTTTTGTGAAGTCGGTTAATAAATTTAAACATTGAGGAATTAAGATCTGAAAACATAAGACATTTGTATTTTTATATCAGACAAAAAAAATTGGCAATAATTGTTACTTAACATCATGTAGACTAATAGAAAACCTAATCAGGCAAGTTCTGCAATTCACTTCCGCGTGAATTTCAATTTTAATTTGAATTCAAAGTGACTTTGGTTGATATTCTTAGGAAGAGAGTTGCAGAACGTGCCTGAATGTCTCAAAAGCTTCGTTCAAAAAGAAGGTTCGGTAATAGGGGGTTACTCTATTCATATAAATAAATTTCACTACAAAGCAGTATTTATATACGAATTTTTCTGCAAAGTAAAACTTTGAATAAACTTACATATAACCTTAATTTGCTCAACATGATCTAAACAAAAAACTGTGAAATTTTCCATGATTTGAAAGCCGCCAGAAGCTGCAGCGCATGGTAAATGGAATGCCTTTGTGCAACTCATTTTACATGTAACACTTGCACCATACTGCCCACAAAATGAACATTTCTGTGTCAGACTCTTAGCAATTATCAACTCTATGCTTGATTTCAATTCACTGGCTTTCCCACTTACTCCCTGCGACCACATAATACACATGCGATGCAAATATATGTAAGAACCATCTAAAAATGTGCGAATGGAGACAATTTCGGGATGTCCTACTCGGTCTAATTCATTGAAGTAGTCAAACTGAGAATTTTTTCCTTTAAAATGGCTCTTTTGTCGCCGAAAAGGTACTTGATCTGCAGTAGTACTTTTTACGCTGTCATCAGTTCTACACGACTTAAGATCATTATAATATTGTATGGCTTTTTCCCAATTATCGGGGTCAGTTTCCCATCTTAAAAAATCTCCTTGGCCCAAGGCACTTTTTTCATCTAAGTTACATAAACAACATACTTTGCCGGGATAGTTATCATTATTGGAAAGCTCGTCAATATTTTGCAATATTCTCTCGTCAGGATATCCTGTATTAGAGCTTTCAGATGATGAGAAAGCTGAAATAGGTAATCCGATGCGTTCACTGCATGAGTTTTGGTCTCCAAAAGTTTTGCGTTTCTGTATGCATTTTTGCTGGGGTAAATCTTTGCGAGGACGTCCAGGACCTCTTCTAGAATTAGTTAATTTACATTCCATTCCTGCGATAATTCCCGAAAGCGGGTCTCCATTCTCGGGTGCTGCTTGCATATACAACTGCGAATGGAACGTCGTCTCATCATTGCCTGTTGTAGGAGAAGATATATTGGAATTAGGCGTTGAAGGAGCCGCTGAAAAAAATTAAAACACACCATACATTTGTATTTAGTAATCAAATTAGTATACTACCGATTTATATACTACCAGCTGGAATAACTGGCATTTTCTTATTTTTTTTATATGAAAAACATATAAGGAATTTATAAATAATGCAAATTGTGTTAACATAAGTGATATTAAGGAAGAAATCCACCACTACCTGCAAATATTCTCAAAACTACACCAAACTTACCGGATGGAAAATGATGCAGTATATCTAAATCATTATCTTCGCATTCCTGTTCTGGCTCCATTTTTTATATATTCATTTGTCAACCAATTAAAACCAATATTATATTTATATACTATCCTAAAAGTATTTTTTTGACGTTCGACAGAAACGTTTTGGAATAAGAACACCAGTACGTCAAAAGTGCCACATTTCTAAAATTTACCAGTCGTAGATGAACAATACAGAGTGTGCCACAAATTCGAAATCTTCACGCCCCTAGCATAAATCATGATTCGAAATAAAATCAACTTGAGTAACAATTCCTTTGTGTATAAGAACAGCTCACTATACTTTTGAAATTTTATAGTTATGCCTTAACCAGCACCTTGGTAGATATAAAATCGTTTTATTATGGATATAATTTCACGCAATTTAAATGACTATAAAATTACATGGTGTATACTACTGTTAATATTTCCAAAATAGCGCCTTTACCAAATAAGGCAAGACTTCAAGATTACATTAGTATGAGTGTCTTTTGGCAGTTCGTGCAACATTCGTCAGTCGGTATACATTTGACAATACGGCTAACTCCAGAACACACATACATGGCGTGAAGGTACATATGTATGTACATACCCTCATATAAAGTGCTCGAAATGCTTAAATTTGTCATAATCGTTTAAAATAAGATTCACTATAAGGGAACGTTAAGTCATTAAAACCATTTGTTTAACCCGAAACTTATTTTTTCTTATTTTTTGTTTATTTCTACTGCAAATACAAAAAAAGTAGAACACTTTATCATGTTTATTGACGATCTGTGGCGCGCAATTTTTCTTCAACTGCTTCCCTAGAGGCTTCAGAAAGATCAGTGGCTTGAATATATTTCTGTACACCCACCAATGACTTCTTCAGAGCATCGAATGAACTTGAGTACAACATCTTCTTCTTAACCTGTAAAAAAGCAACTTTAAAGATCGCCAAATACCTATATTCAGAAAACGTTCGCATTTACCTTAGCGGTGTCCGGGCACCAAGACATAAGGAAAAGTTTCTGCTTCTTTGAGCTCTCTGATGTGCCTTGACATTGGTGCATATACTCGAAATCGAATAAACCATAGCTGTGAAGATGAGTTAGATTAAATTAAAAAACAAGTTTATTAAAAAATTTACTCTCACTTACCGGCATTCTCCCGGACCACATTTTTGGATGTCTTCAAGAAATTGGTCATACTCAGCATTTCGGTCGCCTACAGTTTCAACGTCAATTTGTTTTTTCGTCTCGAATATAAAAAATTACATAGCGGTGCTTTTTGTCCTTTTTAATTTCTTCGTAAGTTGTTTTGCATACATCTGATACGGTAACTCCGGAAGCCTTGAAGAGGATAAATTCAAATTAAATGGGATAAAATCAAAGCAAGTGGTAATATGTAATTAAGAACTCAATACCACCATTTCAAATACCTATGAATGTACATACAATATGCAAACAATAATGGATTGTAACATTGGTGCATACATACATACATATGTGCAAATATATACGCATATTATTTGCGGTTTTTACTAGAATTAATAATTATACGTATGTATGTAAATTTTTTTTTTATGTAATGTATGTATAATTTTTTCTAGGTGTTTTGGCTTAACATACGATATAAATTTTACTTTGTAAATCGACCAATAGCTACATAATTCGTTGCATTGTACGGAACCAACTGTACCAAACATTGTTCTTCCTATTATTTTCAGTGAATTATAATCCTAATATCTCATAAAAAAATCAGCATTACACATAAAAATAGAATAGTTTAAAAATATACATGACTATGCGAACCATTCATTCGATTTAGAACATTTTTACGTACGAAATTCCAATTGTTAAAATTTACGGCGACGAATTTTAACAGCAATAAAATTACCTAAAATAAATTTTGATCGAAAAAGTAATAAAGCAAATTTTTTGACCTCCCCCCAAGGTCGGGGAAATTTTCGTACCATTATATGTACATACTATCTGGACAAAGCTGTGAACCGCATGGCGGAAAATGGTTCTCATCCATTTCTCGTATTTCTGTATATTTTTCTGTACATAGCCCCAGACTTCAAAATAATTCTTAAGTGTGTGTATACATATGTATATGCACATTCATATTTCTTGTCTTTAAATTAACGCAACGCTGAATGAATCATTTACTAATACCTATGCGTACTTGCCGCCGCTTATACTTTCGCTTTACGATAACAGAAGTTCATTTTTCGTGATAAATATAATTACAACGCGATGCACGAATGTTGCGGAGATTACTCATATTTTTCGTAAAGTTTAACAATTAGTATAGATATAACATTTTTTATTAAGTGTATATGACCAAGAAGTGTCGTTGGTAGATGCAAATGATACATTCGCGTTTTTCCGGCTTTTTACCTAAACAGAAGAGACAAGCTTCGGCAAACACAAAGCAAAATTTTCACCCAAGATATTAAATTTCAATTCGCTTAATATAGCGACTATTTTTTCATAAATGTTTGGATTTCTACCTCTAAAGCATGTTTTATAAATTTACAATGCAGAAATATATACAGACATACCATTTTCTTAAGTTTTATGCACAAAAGCTACTAAAAACGCTTGATCTAATTGCACCAACTGCTTACAGAACGTACAAATGTACACACGACCATCAAATGGGTATATGTGCATGAGTTATCCAAAATCCATGATTACCATATTCTTTTGCGAAAAGGGTGTTTCCATTCCATTTTCTCCCGTTTCAAAAGATAAATTTATCGCTTATCGAAATCGATTGTTTTTGGCGACCTTTGTAGTGTTAAGAACGATCTGAGTCAAAATTACTATACGTTCTCATTCTGCGTATTGAGCAGGTAGTAATAGGAGAGCAGTTGATTTGACTTTATTCAAATTATTTAGTCTCTATAAGATAAAATGTTCAGCCTCAGAAAAACTTGTCAGCACTGTATAGTTTTCCAGAATTTTCGTTGTTTACTTATTTCTGTACGACATTAGGCAATGCCAATATTGTCGACTCGTACAATTTGGTCTAGTTTACGACTTAGGGTACGTTCACACAGAAAGCGGAGCGGAGCCGAGCGAAACCGTTCCGAACTGAGCGAAGCTTTCAAATTGCTGTAGGTACATGAAAGTGTTCACACAGAAAGCTTTTTTCAGAAACGTTCTGGAGCTGAAAGCAAAGCAGTTTTTGATCTCTCCTTAAATCGCGACGATGGAAAACTAGACCAAACGTTGATTTTCGTTGTAATCGCCTAATCGATTTTGGCAGACGCCATTTGTAAATGCAAAGTGAAGCCAAGTCCTTCTCCACCTAGCAAAGGAAGCTTTCCTCTTCCTCTATTAACAGTATCGCGACCCGCGCTCAATATTTTCGGAGCTGGAGCGTTTCTGTTCATTCAGTCCGAACTTCGGACTCCGAAGTAGCACTTGTTGGCAAGAGTGATACCTACTCCGTTGGATTTCAAGACTAAAGAAACTACACGGAAGAGAGTCACCTTTTTTAAAACCTCGTTTGGCATCAAACGGCTCGGAGCGGTCCTTTCCAATTCTGACGAAGCTGGTGGTATTGCTCAAAGCTATTTTACACAGCCGTATTGGTTCCCAGCAATGTAGCTTGCAGTAGCGAATAGGCTATTCTCAAAAACACACTTAACGACAGAATTCGTTAGACATGTCGATAAAGAAGTTTACGAGGATTGTCGTTAATTACAAAGACAAATATGGCAATATTGACGTTTGGCACTCAATATTTAAAAGAAACATTTTATTGTTGCGCGTATTAATGTTGTCGAGATTGTTGTTTGTGAATACAATATGAAAAAAAAAAACAGAAGCGCAAAAGCTACTACGGAGCAGTACCATAGGATGCTGGACTTTTTATTTTGCAATAAGGGCCTCGTGCAAGGCGAATTTAATAAGGTGGTGTTAGCCGTATATAAGTAAAAAATTACACTAACAAATTATACGCACAATTACAGTATGAATTACAACAAACACATCATTTTTCACGTTATGTTTTCCACGTCTAAAAATTCAGCTGTGGCTCTAGTTTTCGACGTAACAGTACTTGAAAATTTGTTTACATTTTTAATTTTTTTTTTTAATAACTCCGACAAAGTCCGTTAAAGTCATTTTACTAAACTTTATCACGTGACTATTTTTTAAAATAACCTTCACTATAAAAATCAGTCATGTTAAAATTTTTATTAAAACAACACAAAAACTGAGTTATTTACAAACAAGTTAAAATTGGAGCAAATGTTCAAGTGTCGTTATCTCGAACACTGGAGCCAATCTGACAAAACGGGGGAAGCCATTAAATTTAGAGTGCCCCAATTAAGTGAGATCAACTATCAAAACCTTTGCCTAAGTTTTCAACTTTCACAGTGTAATAAATAAAAATAATAATAATAATAAGCACATCTATATGTGATAAATGTTTATTTATTAGTCATTTTTTATTACAATAGTTTGCCTACCGATGAATTTTGCCTAATATTTCTCAATAAAAATTTAAAACAATTTTATCGTTAGGCTTTTCAACGACAAAATATACGTAGCTAGGCTATCGACAAATTTCGTTAGACAACTGTCAAAGCTACCGACAATATTCGCTAAAAGTGTGCTTGAGAATTGCAATTAACGAAACTTGTCGGAATCGTTTGCTAACGATACGAATATTGTCGTTAAGAAAAATGGGAATCGCACTACTGGTCTTCCGGAAATCGCCTAAATCTCTGGTAAAAATGTCTCACTTTATCTCGCTCCCAAACGGGCGTTTGGTCGCTACCCAGAGGATAGTATAAATATCTGGACGTCATGAGTTGCGATTGAATCGTACGGTAAAGAATCACTTCGTGTATCTCCCAGTTGAATGCCAGTCAAAAGCTTTCCCCACTTACGTGCCCTTCTGAGCACGGGACCATCCTCCCACATGGCTTCCTATGATATTTAATACAAGCAGAATATTTTTTGGCACTTTAGAGCAGTGGTCGGCATACTAACACATTCAAATATTTTAATAAGTGAGACTGTGTGCATTAGAAGCACTTCTCAGCTGCCGCTGTTCGTACATTTACGTGTACACGGTCAGTAATTATCACGATATTTGGATCCCGATACATATTGATGGATTGATGGATCGCGCACGAATGCTACATGTTCAATATTTATCGTGTCACTATTTGCGAAATTTTTGTGCTGCACGCTTATATATTTTATTTTGCACGCAAAAAAATATTTTTATTTTATACGAATAATTTACAGATAATGCATCCCATAATTTTTTCAAATTTCCAATGGTAATTTAAATACCTTCAATTTGCTTTGCAAAAAGTATCATGATTTTTAAATCTTTTGGGTTCTTCCGTGTGTGGGATTTTAAATTATTTTCAAAGAAATGTGTTTTCAATTTGAAATTAAATTTGTTTGAATGATAGTAATAAATGTACGTTTACATACCTTCGGCTGTAGCTGAGCTTGCAGAGGTGCTTGCTGTTATTGGTGAGATTCCAGAAGATCCCAAGATGTTAAAATATGAACACAAGTTTTGGTTTTGTATTACAAAGCTATGAAAAGGCATCTGCGAAGTGCAGAATGGTAGCGAACTTGAACAAAAAAGCCGCCAACACATAACTATGTAAAGTAAACAAGCCCCCGCTGCATCCCTTTTCCGATAGTCCCGAACTAGTTCTAAATTCGACACCTTATAGATTTCTAATGGAAAAAGTGAAATAAAATAGTTTTTTAAAGTACCACATTTCGCTGATTTTGAACTGGTGGGGATCTAGTTACTATCGGACTGCATTTGTATTTGTATTTGTATTTATTTGATGTTTTTTCCCAGCACCACAATTCCATTCCTTTTTCTATAGTTCCGAACCAGTTCTAAATTCATCACCTTATAGATTTCTAATGGAAAAGGTGAAATAAAATAGTTTTTGATTTTGAACTGGTGGGAATCTAGTTACTATCGGACTGGTTCGTTTTGCGATAAAGATCAAGTACGGAACTAGAAATTTGATTCACTAGTCTGCGGTATCCCTGCAGAGAACATACATATTACGCTGAGGGAAAAACATTTTGTAATCAATCAGAAACGTAATTTATCTTACTATAAATGTCAACGAAAGTACTGTATATTGGTAAATATTCAATTCAATTACGCGCATATTAAAATGACCGCGTTCGTTGTAAAAAAGCATCCCCGAAGTGTATAATCAAGATAAACACAAAAAAATATTTAATTTGTATGTTGCCGGCAGCGGAATTCGAATCCTGATCCATTCTGGATATCAACAAATTGTGGCAAGCATCTTTGCGCACTCAGCTACAGCCAGACATATAAATGTGCTTTCAAATGTTGAATCCATCAACATGCGATTTGTACGGATAAACACCCCGCTAGCAAAGAAACGTAAATTTTGCCGACAGTGCAGTTAAGTTCAATTTTTCGGTATCAGAAAACTAATAGAAAAAACTCCTACAGTTATCATCAATTTTCGTATCCGGAAAACGTTCGAAACGTTCGAAAATAAATGTTGTCATTTGAAAGCAATAATCTATATACATATATAATACGCGAAGTCATTTTTTGTTCCGCATAAAAGATCTGCACCGTTCGTTCGATTTTCAAAAAATGGGGTGTCAAATTAAAGCACTTGGGCTGTAGTTGTGCAAACTGGTTTTATTTTTTCGAAAAGAGTTGCTACCTGTTGAACAATTAAAATCAAATTTTTCAATAATCAATACCATCAGATCCGTGTCAAATTAAAGGGCTGTGCAATAAGGGTTTATTTTTTTGAAAAGAGTTGCCAACTTTTAAAAACTTATCTATATTCAAATTATTTAAAAAAAATGGATCAGTTATTCAAAGTGGGTATTAATCGAAATATTTTTGAAGCTTTGTTTTTTAACCTAACTATAGGAGGGTTGCCACCTGTTTATAAAAAAATAAATTCAATTTGAATTAAGGGAAATAGGTAAGAGAAGTATGTATGTATCAACATATGGGTGCCAAACGAAATGGTTTTAAGGTAATGGTTTGAAAATATTTTGAACAAGATTGCCACCTGCTTTAAATGTCTATACAAAAATTATATGAAACATCAAAATATGAATGTCAAACGAAAGCGTGTTAAGAAATCTTTATTTTCAACGCTAAGACTATTTTTGAGGTGATGGGAAAGGGTTGCCACCTGTTTAAATAGTTAAATTCAAAGTATTTAATAAGTTAAATGAATTATTAAAATTTCGGAATATATCTAAGAGGGTTTCGAAAATCTTTATTTCTGAACTATATTTAGTGGGGTTGCCACATGTTTAAAAAAATCAAACTCAACTTAATTTATCACTTAATTAAAATATATATCGCAATGTTAGACAAAGGAGCCTTAACAAGAGTTTAGCTTGAAAGTACTTTTCAAGAGGGCTGCCATCTGTTTGAAAGGTTTAATTTAATTAAAAAGTTACATTCAAATCATTCAATAAGTTCGACGAATTATTAAAGGATGGGTATCAATCGGAATGGGTTTAAAAACTCTTTATTTCTGACCTTTATTTAGGAGGGTTGCAACCAAGAATGATAGAATACAAGATTGCGCCGATCAGAGAGGATTTTTGAGAATAACTTTTGTGTGACGTCACACTGGTGCAATTGCGAGAGAGAAATGCCAA